AAACAAGAATTTCCGGAGGATGAGGCCCAGAAATCAAGATTTTAAAAAGATTCCCAGGTGATTCTAATGTGCAGCCAAGGTTGAGAACCACTGTTTTAGGTAAAGGCTCCTCTGAGTGCAGTGATTTTGGAACCAGGGGAAAGAAATGGTCTACACTTGGACTGCATCCAGGGCCCTGACCTTGTTAGCACCTGAGCTAATGAAGCTAGCACAGGCACCTCGCTGTGGGGTTACTGGTGCTGACGCAATAAGTGTAGATGATCATTTACATAGATCTTGCCTTGTTTTTAATAATAAAGTTTCAGCTTTCTAAACTGTCCATTTTATATGTCCTGAGGATTAAAATGTTATTGTTTGCAACTTTACACAAAGATAGATCAATAAATGGAGGAACTAATTTGTTTTCTTTAAGCATTTCTAGTTATTTTTAACTGTCGATTTCCAATGCTATCAAAAGGAATTAGATAATCTTACAGAATACAGTGGGGCTTTGACTTACGAGTGTCCCGACTAACGAGTTTTTCGAGATACGAGCCGTCTCTCGGCCGATTTTTTGCTTTGAGTTGCGAGCTAAAATTCGGGTTACGTACGAGCCAGCTTCAGATACCCCACCGCTAGTTGGCGCAGTGAACGTCACAGTGATTTGACATATGAGTAATTTGAGTTATGAGCTCCATCACGGAACACATTAAACTCGTAAGTCAAGGCCCCACTGTAGTCTCAAAAATATATAAGACTTAGACAATCATATATTTTACAGATTGGTTGCCCTGATATAAGCTTGTCTAACCACTATGCTGTACACCTGAAACTAATACAGAATAATATTGAATGTAAACTGCAGTTGAAAAATAAAAGAAATGTCAGGCTTGTGTTCTTAGCATTTCACGGTACTCTCAATGTGTTGCCAGAGGAAATAGGATTCTTCCACGGTATCACAGGAAATGCATTTCAGGGATACACACATAGGAGGGTTTGAGGTATAGTGGCAAGATTTATTGGAGGGACAACGGAGGACTGCCCTCGGATGCACCATCCCCGATGTCTCAGCCACAACCAGGTGGCTCAGCTCCGTCTCCTGTGGAAGAAGAGCAGCCTCTGGGGCCACAGGCCAACATTGTCCCCACCAAGCCCAGAAGGTGGCCCGGACCCGGAGCTGCCATGCCATTAGCCCAGCATCCCAGGCTCCCGGAGCCCAGCACAGTCTCTGCTCTTGCCCAGCCCATGTGGCTGCAAGAGCCCCGTGCCTGTGTTAAGCCTTGATTGCCTTTCCGTTGGCTTGGGTGAGAGCGGGCTTTCTTTCATACTATCCCGTCCCTTTCCTGCATCTTCCGGGGCTGCGTGCCCTTCCAGCCAGTCTCTCCCAGATTTTCGCAGGCTTTGTCTTGTCCCCTTTAAGGTTGCCAGTTAGGCTCCTGCTGGGTATGCCTCATAGTTTTGCCTCATCATCTGGCTTCTACTGCCCAAGCACTTAGTAGAAGGACTGCCCCCTGCTCTCCATCTTGGCTTCTGCGCCTGAGCCCCCCTCACTGTCCCTCCTCGGTAATCCAGGCTAACGGGCTGGTTGTCCCCCTGGGAGATTGCAAAGCCTGTCTTTCCTGCCTGCTTGGGGATTAATGTCCCTTTGGCAGAGGATGCGGCTGTCCCCTGGGGTGTATGTGAAGCTGTAGCTTCCCGACTTAATCAGGTTCAGCCAGTTTTGCTCCCTTCTATGTTAATTCCTAACCAGCTGCCTCCTGTAACAGGTGGAGAGAACCTAGCATTATAACTTGTTAATATCAGGTAGGCCTTGAACCCAGGAGAAGAGGTACTATTTCTATAGAACAAGAATAAATGCCAGTGAGTGATTAATTTACCCAGAAAGAAATTATTGCGCTGTGCACAGAGCTATGATCATAAATAGGCAGTCTGTGCGCACTCCTCGGAAAGAGGGGCCCTGGAGGTTTCTAAACTCACACAGACGTGGAAGAGCTGAGGTCACTCGGTCCAATCTGTTTTCACCTTCACAACAGGGGCCCTAAAATGGCAACAGCTTTTCAGGAAAAGGTCTGGTCCACCTTGAGGGTTCTGGGCCTTGTGAGGAGAGAGCCCTGATTCCTCATAGTAAAAGCTTCCTAGGCTAAGCCTGTGTGTTACTTGCTTGGGGGTAGGAAAGGCGAAGGTGGAATCTTAGTCTGATGTGTTAAAAATGGTGCGGAGAAAAGAATACAAGTGCCAGGAAGGGCAGGGAATGTTCTTTTCTCTTCTTTTCTTTTCTTTTCTTTTCTTTTCTTTCTTTATTTTTTTAGGAATGTTCTTTTAAATCACTTTTTCAATGACAGTATCTGTGGTGAAAGTTACATTATGTCTGAGAAGCCCGTGGGCTAATGGAGCCAGGACTGTTGTCTGTCTGGTGGTGTTGAAAAAGGTTTTTGAACTGAAGGTTTAGAACTGATTACCTATTTCCTGTATACCAGCTGGGTTATATTGGTAAACTACAGATTTGGTACATTTATTTTTAAAGTATAACTATATCTCACTAATTTAAAGCAATTTTGATTCAGAAATAATGACAGCTTAGAGTAGGTCTGAATTAAAGGATATCTTAAGGAAGTTATAGGGAAAACATTATTTAATTTTACAGTCATTCTCTGACATTTTGTATATTTCAGAGCTCATGTTTTTATTCTTGCACATACATGAGTCAAAGCCAGTTTAAGTTAATGAAAAATATGATAAAAAGTTTTTTTTAATCTTATGTAGAAGCTTTAAGGCAGGATAGCAAGAAGCTAGGAAAATTTCTTGGCAAGTGGAATGGGGAAACTGAGATAGATAGCTGAAGAAACTGGCCAAGTAATTTACAGCCAGATACAGAAGGTCACCAGGGGGGAAAGCCCCAAGTGCTAGCACTGAGCAAAACTGGTGCTGGACCTCACTCTCAGGGTGGCCTTTTCCTCCCCTGGCATATTGCTGGTCATATGGTTTGGACCCCCTGACCTTTCATATCTTTGGTCCTGCAATTTGGACCCCCTGACCTTTATAGCCTAGAGATAACATCGAAGCCTCAGTTGTATTTCAGTTCCAGGCCCAGAAAAGCCAGGCGAGTGACCCCAGGACCAGCTGCAATGACTAATGACCCCTTGCCTTGTGTTGACCAATCAGGCACACCTGGAAAAGCTGATGAACATTCTATTGGGATCCTCAGCTAAGACCGTTCCTAAATCCCCAGCCTTTAAAAACCCTCAAAACAAACGTCCAAGCCCACGCTCTCCATCCCCGGAGCATGCCTGCATTTTTCCCTTCTCCCTCTTCTTCCCCAACAGGCATGCATCTTCTAAATTGTAAGGGACCCCAGGAGACTCACACCAGGGGAACAATGGGCAGCAGCAGTTCGTCCTAGGCCCTGAACCTGTCCCCAAGATTACATTGGATTCCCCTGCGTTCAAGTTCCTCGGGCTTCACCTTATGAGATCTATTATAGTTTTAATTAAATAATTGTTTTGTGACTACCAATCTCCCTTACTGAACTCTAAGCTCATTGGGAAGAAAGACCATATTGGGTCTTTCCACCATATGCATGTTCCCAACATGGCCAAAAACCTGCGGCAGACCTGCTCTGGGCCTGGTCCCTTACCAGTAACAGCTTGAACTAATTATACATATATAAAAATTATATACATACATGTATATGTTTATAAAAATTATATATATATTATAGATCTATTTGTATAATTTTTTCATATATTTAGTTTTTGCGCTGTTGCTCTCTCCTGTTGCTTCTGGGCCTTCCTTGTTTCACTATCTCCAGCTTTGGTAAATGTACTCTCAAAATTACCTGGATTTGTATTGTGAAATCTTTCCTGCGTGAAGAACCCAGCGCAATAATTTCTTTCTGTTCCTAAACATTCTTTGACCCTCCAGTGAGCTGACAGCAGCCCTGCCTTCGCTCTCTTCTTTTCTTGTCTTTTTATTTTTTATACTCACCCAAGGGCATTTTTCCATTGATTTTTTTTAGGGAGTGGAAGAGAGAGGGAAAGACGGAAATATTGATGTGAGAGAAGCACATCGATTGGTTGCCTACTGCACAAGGCCCCACCAGGGCCTGGGCTGGGGAGAAGCCTGCAACCAAGGTACATACCCTTGACTGGAATCGAACCTGGGACCCTTTGGTCTGCAGGCCGATGCTCTATCCATTGAGCCAAATCAGCTAGGGTTGCTCCTTTCTTTTCCATAATGTTTTGAGAGCCAAAAC